TATTTTATTTTATTTTTTCGTGTTGTTTTTCTTCCGAGGAGCACGTGATTTCTCAAGATGACAATCAGGGCGGGACTTCCGCTCACCGCCTCTAACCAGGAAGTCGTCGTGTTGCTTTTCCCCCTTCACCTCCTTCTCCTCTTCCTCCTTCACCTCCTCCTCCTCCTCCTCCTGCTGCTCCTCTTCCTCCTGCAGCTCTGCCAGGAACCAGACTCACTAACCGGGGGGCCGGGAAGTTTCTCCCAAGTCGGTTAAAAAAACTACCGGGGTTCAGTTTCTCACCGGCTCCGCCCGCGGCCTCGGTCTGTGCCGCTAAACTTTGCCCGGTTGTCATCGACGGAGCGGCGGCGCCTGAAGTGTCCCCGGGACGGAGAAGTGTCCCCAGGACGGAGAAGTGTCCCCGGAGTCACGGGGGAGAGTCTCACGCGGTCTGTGGTAAGAGCTCATTTCACTCCGTGTTCGAACCCTGTGAGCCTCCGCTGGTCCACTGTTCCCCCCGGAGCCTGAAGTCACGGTTAGTGGAGGCTCGTGTGAAGCGGCCACAGGTGATCTCTGGACCATCGAGTCATCACTTCACCGCTGCACATGTGTCACATCTACTTCCGTGTTGCTCACCACCGACTGTCAGGAGGATCCACGAGAGGCTTGTTTTTATCGTTACATCGCAGACATCTGAAGTTTTCTGCTTCTTGTATTGAGCTTTTTTTTTTTTTAAAACGACTGGTTTTAAATTGTGCATATTGGTTTATTGTCCCTGAACCGACCTCTGTGGACGAGATGTGCTTTATAAATACACACCTGCCTTCCCTCACACGAATCATAGAAACACAGATGTCTGTGATTTAGAGACTGTAGCGGTAGTTTCCTGTTTTAAGTTCCCAGAGTCACAAATGTTTTCCCCTCAAGCTTTGTCTGAGAGAAGTCTCAGTCACTTTTGAGATCCCACGTCTAAATAACACAGTGCTCAGTGGATTGACTGGACAGACACATGTCAGTGGCAGCTGTTTAAATAGTGGATCAATAGTTTCAGTTGTTTTTCGAGCAGAAACTGTGAAACCGAGACTGCACCTTCTCCGGTTGCAGCGTCTCTCAGTATTTGGACTAAACAAGACGTTTGACGACCTTTGACGCTGTGATCATTTTGTCATAGTTCATGTGATTTCCAAAGATTAAGAAAATAATGTGAATAATCAATACTGAAAATATTTTTGTTTAACCAGCTCTAAAGACATTTCATTTCCATATTTGCTTCAAAGAATGACTCGTATGTTTGATTACTTGGAAAATAGTTTTGGATCAATTTTCAGTTAATGGACTATTCACCAAATTGTTTAATCACTACAGTCTTTATTTTCTGATAGTTCATCGTGTTCTTTTTATTTCAGATGGAAGAGGATATTGAAAATTGAAGATCTGCCAGAATCACAATTCCCTCCAAGATGAATCCTGCCCCTCGTCATATTTCATCCAGCTGCACATTCACCGACACCGTCTTGTGTCTGCACAACTTCAGTAACCGTCAAGGTGTGACTCCACATCTCTGATCATGTGCTTGTGATGAAACACTGGCTGCCCCTCCCATATCCCATTCCTGTTGTCTGTGACAAAGACACGTCTCTCTATTCAGACCTGTCCCTTCTTACCCCTCCTCCGGCTCTTCGAGTTCCTGGGCCATGTTACGCAAGAGAGGCTCCCTCATACTATGTGGTGCATTCCTGTTTATCACCTGGAATGCCATAGTGGTACTTCTGCTGCGGGGCAGACCCGTGCCGGGCCTGTCGGGCGTGCCGACCCAAGAGCAGGGGGAAGTGGCTCACAGGCCTTCCATTGATGTGATGGGAGATGTGCTCCGTATGGCCGACGTGTTCGAGGCTGAGCTGGAACTGCAGAAGAAGATCCTGATCCAGATCAAGAGTCAGCAGTCACTGTGGGAGCCGTCGATGAGAAACAAACAGAAGGTCGTAGCCGCCCCCGAGCCCGTCATTCCTATCCTGGTGATCGCCTGTAACAGAGTCACCGTGAGACGCTGCTTGGACAAACTCCTGCAGCACCGTCCCTCAGCAGAGCTTTACCCAATCATAGTGAGTCAAGACTGTGGACACGCCGAGACTGCCGAGGTGATTCGTTCTTATGGAGATAAAGTTACTCATCTAAAACAGCCGGACTTGTCAAACGTCGCTTTGCGGCCAGAGCACAAGAAGTTTCAGGGTTACTATAAAATCTCCAGGCATTACCGCTGGGCTCTCAACCAAGTGTTCAAGACCCTTTCTCATTCCTCTGTTGTCATTGTGGAGGATGATTTGGAGGTAATCGTATTATCACTATTAAATTGGTCTTGTTGAAAAGTTTATTCTTTAATAACTGAGTAGATACTCTTTGCATAGGTTCCATATTTTTCAGCTGATAACAATTGATCTGTCATGTTTCATGTGTCACACAAAATGAATTATTCATCTGCTACTCTAGGTGGCACCAGACTTCTTCGAGTACTTCCGCTCCATGCTGCCACTCTTGAAATCCGATCCGAGTCTGTGGTGTGTGTCAGCCTGGAATGACAATGGCAGGGACGGCTACGTGGATCCCGGGAAGGCTGCTGTGCTCCATCGGACCGACTTCTTCCCTGGTCTGGGGTGGATGCTCCTCAGGGAGGTGTGGGAGGAGCTGGAGCCGAAGTGGCCTGCTTCGTTCTGGGACGACTGGATGCGTCAGCCAGAGCAGCGCCGCAACCGTGCCTGTATCCGCCCAGAAATCTCACGTACTTTAACGTTTGGCCGTCAAGGTGTGAGTCTGGGTCAGTTTTATGACAAGTACCTGCGCTACATTAAACTGAATGCCGAATTTGTGCCTTTTACAAAGTTAGACCTGAGCTACTTGAAGGAGGAGACGTACAGAATCCACTTTGAGAATGAAGTTTACACTGCTCCTGTGGTTACTTATGAAGACGTAAAGCAGGGGCAGCTGAAAGGAGCGGGGCCGTTCCGCCTTCAGTACTCAAGTAAGGACAGTTTCAAAGTAATGGCCAAAAACCTGGGCATCATGGATGACTTGAAGTCTGGAGTCCCAAGAACAGGATACAGAGGAGTCGTCAGTTTCATCTCCAGAGGGAGGAGAATCTACTTGGCTCCTCCTCCAGGATGGACGCAGTATGATCCCACCTGGAGCTGATAAACCAGGAGGAAGCCTGTGTGCAGTAACCATTTTGTAATCTCCACAACACGCTTCAGACCTGGTGTTAACATCCGTCCTGAGTGATCCGATCTAAGTGGAGAGGTGCATGCAGCACATTGATTCACTCATATCGTCCTGACTCTGCTCTCACACATACGGGAACTCACCAGCTAAAAATATCATTTTGTCTTCACAAAAGACAAATGAGGTTCGTGTTCATTTGCGTACAGAGCAGGAAAGTGAGCTTCGATCACAAACGCATTTGAACTCGGAGCTGTCCTCTTGTGATTCAGTCTTTTAGGTCGGATGTTAACACCAGGTCTGAACGAGGCCTTAATGTCAGATGGGGAGAGCGTTCCAGACCAAAGAGTGACGTCCCGGAGCTTTCTCTTGAACGATGTATATACTCTGGTTCATTGTTCGTGAAGTTGCAGAGTGGTTTGTCCCTCTGTCTGGTGAAGGGATCATTGCCAATTCTACTCAGGTCTTTTTCATTCCTCTAAACACTTCGTACAGTGTAGGATTCAGCCTAAACAGTTTGTTAGCCACAACTGCTGTAATTCACCAGAGATATATTTTTATACAATGCTAAATGTGCACATGACATTCAGTAATGCATTCAATGCAATTACCTAATTTGCCACTTTTTGCTTGAAATATTTGTAATTCCTGGTAGCCTATTTGAACTGTTTATGTCTGGTACAATTATAAACTCAGAATCTGTGGTATGGTTGTTTATGGTGTTGGTGACTGGTCATAACTGCATTATAACCCGTTGTTAGATTGTTTTTGTCTTTTATGAAAATCAGTTCTTCCGGCTTACATTTGATTTCAAGTATTTTTTTTAAAAAATGATTCTTTGTTTTATTTCTTGAAACCTTGATAATTTTTAAACTGCAATATTTCTGTGTTTGTATATTTTTTTGGAATTAAATAATCAGTAAATAATGTTGGCTTTTAATTTAAGTTTTATAGACAAGATTACTGTGTTTCCAGTTCATATTATGTAATGTGCTAAAAATATCATTTCAGGGAGTCGGGTGAGGAGACAAACACTTCAGTAACAAACCCTCCTGCAAACAGACACGACAATTACTTTCTTCAAATGCCAATTCATTTGCTTGATAATTTACTTTGTATGCCACTATTTAAAAAAAACAGGCATGTGCAGAAGTTCAGGCTCTGAGTGTAAAGTAACTCCATCTCCTTTGCCGACTGTTGAGCACGGAGGAGGAGATATTCTGGTTTGGCGTTGTGGTACAGCACGTATCACAGCGTGCAGCTTGCAGTAGAGTCTGTATATTCTTGATGTAGGACCCCCCCCCCCACACTCTTCCCTGCACATCAATTTAAGTTCTGAGATATTTGAGGCTGACTTGCAGATCTTGTAGAAGCGACCTTCTTTTCATTTTCTGATGATTGACTGACTCCTGCATCCAGAATTTGAAATTGGCAAACTGGAGGAAGTCGCCATCGGCACATGTTTGTGGAATAAAAAGTAACGAGGGCATTAACATGTGAAGAGACGTTCTGTTTTCTTTTCAAAAAACCTCTGCACACAACTGTTCATGTACTTACCAGAGACTTTAAAACTTTTGTAGGAGGAACAAATTTAAATCCAGCAAAAACGAAACTAAAGAATGCAACGATGACATCAGTGCAAAGTCCACAGAAAAATCAGAGCAGGATAAGGAAATGATAAAATATAAGTAGTGTGCATGACTGAAAGGATAACGACTGTATGAAGAACGTAGATAAACACTGAACGATTAAAGAGATCAGAGTGCATCGAGGTAATTTACAGACATAAACGATAAACAGTTAAAATGAATAAGAAGAAGATGACAGCACATGTA